AGAGTGTGTGTTCTCGAGCTCCAGAGTGTGTGTTCTCGAGCTCAGAGTGTGTGTTCTCGAGCTCCGAGTGTGTTCTCGAGCTCAGAGTGTGTGTTCTCGAGCTCAGAGTGTGTGTTCTCGAGCTCAGAGTGTGTGTTCTCGAGCTCAGAGTGTGTGTTCTCGAGCTCCGAGTGTGTGTTCTCGAGCTCCGAGTGTGTTCTCGAGCTCAGAGTGTGTGTTCTCGAGCTCAGAGTGTGTGTTCTCGAGCTCAGAGTGTGTGTTCTCGAGCTCAGAGTGTGTGTTCTCAAGCTCAGAGTGTGTGTTCTCGAGCTCAGAGTGAGCTCAGAGTGTGTGTTCTCGAGCTCAGAGTGTGTGTTCTCGAGCTCAGAGTGTGTGTTCTCGAGCTCAGAGTGTGTGTTCTCGAGCTCAGAGTGTGTGTTCTCAAGCTCAGAGTGTGTGTTCTCGAGCTCAGAGTGTGTGTTCTCGAGCTCAGAGTGTGTGTTCTCAAGCTCAGAGTGTGTGTTCTCGAGCTCAGAGTGAGCTCAGAGTGTGTGTTCTCGAGCTCAGAGTGTGTGTTCTCGAGCTCAGAGTGTGTGTTCTCGAGCTCAGAGTGTGTGTTCTCGAGCTCAGAGTGTGTGTTCTCGAGCTCAGAGTGTGTGTTCTCAAGCTCAGAGTGTGTGTTCTCGAGCTCAGAGTGAGCTCAGAGTGTGTGTTCTCGAGCTCAGAGTGTGTGTTCTCGAGCTCAGAGTGTGTGTTCTCGAGCTCAGAGTGTGTGTTCTCGAGCTCAGAGTGAGCTCAGAGTGTGTGTTCTCGAGCTCCAGAGTGTGTGTTCTCGAGCTCAGAGTGTGTGTTCTCGAGCTCAGAGTGTGTGTTCTCGAGCTCAGAGTGTGTGTTCTCGAGCTCAGAGTGTGTGTTCTCGAGCTCAGAGTGTGTGTTCTCGAGCTCAGAGTGTGTTCTCGAGCTCAGAGTGTGTGTTCTCGAGCTCAGAGTGTGTGTTCTCGAGCTCAGAGTGTGTGTTCTCGAGCTCAGAGTGTGTGTTCTCGAGCTCCGAGTGTGTGTTCTCGAGCTCAGAGTGTGTGTTCTCGAGCTCAGAGTGTGTGTTCTCGAGCTCAGAGTGTGTGTTCTCGAGCTCAGAGTGTGTGTTCTCGAGCTCAGAGTGTGTGTTCTCGAGCTCAGAGTGTGTGTTCTCGAGCTCAGAGTGTGTGTTCTCGAGCTCAGAGTGTGTGTTCTCGAGCTCAGAGTGTGTGTTCTCGAGCTCAGAGTGTGTGTTCTCGAGCTCCAGAGTGTGTGTTCTCGAGCTCAGAGTGTGTTCTCGAGCTCAGAGTGTGTGTTCTCGAGCTCAGAGTGTGTGTTCTCGAGCTCAGAGTGTGTGTTCTCGAGCTCAGAGTGTGTGTTCTCGAGCTCAGAGTGTGTGTTCTCAAGCTCAGAGTGTGTGTTCTCGAGCTCAGAGTGAGCTCAGAGTGTGTGTTCTCGAGCTCAGAGTGTGTGTTCTCGAGCTCAGAGTGTGTGTGTTCTCGAGCTCAGAGTGTGTGTTCTCGAGCTCAGAGTGTGTGTTCTCGAGCTCAGAGTGTGTGTTCTCAAGCTCAGAGTGTGTGTTCTCGAGCTCAGAGTGAGCTCAGAGTGTGTGTTCTCGAGCTCAGAGTGTGTGTTCTCGAGCTCAGAGTGTGTGTTCTCGAGCTCAGAGTGTGTGTTCTCGAGCTCAGTGTGTGTTCTCGAGCTCAGAGTGTGTTCTCGAGCTCAGAGTGTGTGTTCTCGAGCTCAGTGTGTGTTCTCGAGCTCAGAGTGTGTGTTCTCGAGCTCAGAGTGTGTGTTCTCGAGCTCAGACGCTGTTGTGTGTGAATGAACGGCCGGAACACATTAATAGTTTCTGTGTTCTGTAGAGCGGTGTCGTGTTAGCGGCTCCTAAGTTAATCACTAATGATCTTTACAACGGAAGTGAATCAATCAACACTAACTTTATCTGGACAATAACTTTATTCTAGAGCTGCTGTAAAGCCTAAACACTGTTACTGTCATCTCCTGTTATCACTGTAAAGCTGCTGTGGAACATCTGTGTTGTGAAAGCGCTGTAGAGATGAAGGAGACTCGACTGTGAAGCGGCTTGGATCGGTCTGTACTGTATAAAGCTCGCTTTACCTCGATCTCTCTCCTCAGCTGTGTGTGTGTTCGCTGTTCCTCCTCCAGTTGAGCTTTCCTCTCCCTCAATGTCCGTCTGCCTTCGAGAATATTCGCCTTAAGAAAGTCAATTTCCTTCTGGAAAGATCAAAACAAACAAAGCATGAAGTTTCCATACACCTATTTTTATGCAAATTGTGGGATGTTGCATAAAAAACACTGGATGGAAACACATGATGACGCTCGACACACACTCGTTCATGATGACGCTCGACACACACTCGTTCATGATGACGCTCGACACACACTCGTTCATGATGACGCTCGACACACACTCGTTCATGATGACGCTCGACACACACTCGTTCATGATGACGCTCGACACACACTCGTTTATGATGACGCTCGACACACACTCGTTCATGATGACGCACACTCGTTCATGATGACGCTCGACACACACTCGTTCATGATGACGCTCGACACACACTCGTTTATGATGACGCTCGACACACTCGTTTATGATGACGCTCGACACACACTCGCTCATGATGACGCTCGACACACACTCGCTCATGATGACGCTCGACACACACTCGTTCATGATGACGCTCGACACACACTCGTTTATGATGACGCTCGACACACACTCGTTTATGATGACGCTCGACACACACTCGTTTATGATGACGCTCGACACACACTCGCTCATGATGACGCTCGACACACACTCGTTCATGATGACGCTCGACACACACTCGTTCATGATGACGCTCGACACACACTCGTTTATGATGACGCTCGACACACACTCGTTTATGATGACGCTCGACACACACTCGTTTATGATGACGCTCGACACACACTCGTTCATGATGACGCTCGACACACACTCGTTCATGATGACGCTCGACACACACTCGTTTATGATGACGCTCGACACACACTCGTTTATGATGACGCTCGACACACACTCGTTCATGATGACGCTCGACACACACTCGTTCATGATGACGCTCGACACACACTCGTTTATGATGACGCTCGACACACACTCGTTTATGATGACGCTCGACACACACTCGTTCATGATGACGCTCGACACACACTCGTTTATGATGACGCTCGACACACACTCGTTTATGATGACGCTCGACACACACTCGTTTATGATGACGCTCGACACACACTCGTTCATGATGACGCTCGACACACACTCGTTCATGATGACGCTCGACACACACTCGTTTATGATGACGCTCGACACACACTCGTTTATGATGACGCTCGACACACACTCGTTCATGATGACGCTCGACACACACTCGTTCATGATGACGCTCGACACACACTCGTTTATGATGACGCTCGACACACACTCGTTTATGATGACGCTCGACACACACTCGTTCATGATGACGTTTGACACACTCGTTCATGATGACGCTCGACACACACTCGTTCATGATGACGCTCGACACACACTCGCTCATGATGACGCTCGACACACACTCGTTCATGATGACGCTCGACACACACTCGTTCATGATGACGCTCGACACACACTCGCTCATGATGACGCTCGACACACACTCGTTTATGATGACGCTCGACACACACTCGTTCATGATGACGCTCGACACACACTCGTTCATGATGACGCTCGACACACACTCGTTCATGATGACGCTCGACACACACTCGTTCATGATGACGCTCGACACACACTCGTTCATGATGACGCTCGACACACACTCGTTCATGATGACGCTCGACACACACTCGCTCATGATGACGCTCGACACACACTCGTTCATGATGACGCTCGACACACACTCGTTCATGATGACGCTCGACACACACTCGTTATGATGACGCTCGACACACACTCGTTCATGATGACGCTCGACACACACTCGCTCATGATGACGCTCGACACACACTCGTTCATGATGACGCTCGACACACACTCGTTCATGATGACGCTCGACACACACTCGTTCATGATGACGCTCGACACACACTCGTTCATGATGACGCTCGACACACACTCGTTTATGATGACGCTCGACACACACTCGTTCATGATGACGCTCGACACACACTCGTTCATGATGACGCTCGACACACACTCGTTCATGATGACCCTCGACACACACTCGTTCATGATGACGCTCGACACACACTCGTTCATGATGACCCTCGACACACACTCGTTCATGATGACGCTCGACACACACTCGTTTATGATGACCCTCGACACACACTCGTTCATGATGACCCTCGACACACACTCGTTTATGATGACCCTCGACACACACTCGTTCATGATGACGCTCGACACACACTCGTTCATGATGACCCTCGACACACACTCGTTATGATGACGCTCGACACACACTCGTTTAAGATGACGCTCGACACACACTCGTTATGATGACGCTCGACACACACTCGTTCATGATGACGCTCGACACACACTCGTTCATGATGACGCTCGACACACACTCGTTCATGATGACCCTCGACACACACTCGTTCATGATGACGCTCGACACACACTCGTTTATGATGACGCTCGACACACACTCGTTCATGATGACCCTCGACACACACTCGTTTAAGATGACGCTCGACACACACTCGTTATGATGACGCTCGACACACACTCGTTCATGATGACGCTCGACACACACTCGTTCATGATGACGCTCGACACACACTCGTTCATGATGACCCTCGACACACACTCGTTCATGATGACGCTCGACACACACTCGTTCATGATGACCCTCGACACACACTCGTTCATGATGACCCTCGACACACACTCGTTCATGATGACGCTCGACACACACTCGTTCATGATGACGCTCGACACACACTCGTTCATGATGACCCTCGACACACACTCGCTCATGATGACGCTCGACACACACTCGTTCATGATGACCCTCGACACACACTCGTTCATGATGACGCTCGACACACACTCGTTTATGATGACCCTCGACACACACTCGTTCATGATGACCCTCGACACACACTCGTTTATGATGACCCTCGACACACACTCGTTCATGATGACGCTCGACACACACTCGTTTATGATGACCCTCGACACACACTCGTTATGATGACGCTCGACACACACTCGTTTAAGATGACGCTCGACACACACTCGTTATGATGACGCTCGACACACACTCGTTCATGATGACGCTCGACACACACTCGTTCATGATGACGCTCGACACACACTCGTTCATGATGACCCTCGACACACACTCGTTCATGATGACGCTCGACACACACTCGTTTATGATGACCCTCGACACACACTCGTTCATGATGACCCTCGACACACACTCGTTCATGATGACGCTCGACACACACTCGTTCATGATGACGCTCGACACACACTCGTTCATGATGACGCTCGACACACACTCGTTCATGATGACGCTCGACACACACTCGTTCATGATGACGCTCGACACACACTCGTTCATGATGACGCTCGACACACACTCGTTCATGATGACGCTCGACACACACTCGTTCATGATGACGCTCGACACACACTCGTTTATGATGACGCTCGACACACACTCGTTCATGATGACGCTCGACACACACTCGTTCATGATGACGCTCGACACACACTCGTTCATGATGACGCTCGACACACACTCGTTCATGATGACGCTCGACACACACTCGTTCATGATGACGCTCGACACACACTCGTTCATGATGACGCTCGACACACACTCGCTCATGATGACGCTCGACACACACTCGTTCATGATGACGCTCGACACACACTCGTTTATGATGACGCTCGACACACACTCGTTCATGATGACGCTCGACACACACTCGTTCATGATGACGCTCGACACACACTCGTTTATGATGACGCTCGACACACACTCGTTCATGATGACGCTCGACACACACTCGTTCATGATGACGCTCGACACACACTCGTTCATGATGACGCTCGACACACACTCGTTCATGATGACGCTCGACACACACTCGTTCATGATGACGCTCGACACACACTCGTTCATGATGACGCTCGACACACACTCGCTCATGATGACGCTCGACACACACTCGTTCATGATGACGCTCGACACACACGTTCATGATGACGCTCGACACACACTCGTTCATGATGACGCTCGACACACACTCGTTCATGATGACGCTCGACACACACGTTCATGATGACGCTCGACACACACTCGTTCATGATGACGCTCGACACACACTCGTTCATGATGACGCTCGACACACACTCGTTTATGATGACGCTCGACACACACTCGTTATGATGACGCTCGACACACACTCGTTCATGATGACGCTCGACACACACTCGTTCATGATGACGCTCGACACACACTCGCTCATGATGACGCTCGACACACACTCGCTCATGATGACGCTCGACACACACTCGTTCATGATGACGCTCGACACACACTCGCTCATGATGACGCTCGACACACACGTTCATGATGACGCTCGACACACACTCGTTCATGATGACGCTCGACACACACTCGTTTATGATGACGCTCGACACACACTCGTTCATGACGCTCGACACACACTCGTTCATGATGACGCTCGACACACACTCGTTCATGATGACGCTCGACACACACTCGTTTATGATGACGCTCGACACACACTCGTTTATGATGACGCTCGACACACACTCGTTCATGATGACGCTCGACACAACGCTCGACACACACTCGTTCATGATGACGCTCGACACACACTCGCTCATGATGACGCTCGACACACACTCGCTCATGATGACGCTCGACACACACTCGCTCATGATGACGCTCGACACACACTCGTTCATGATGACGCTCGACACACACTCGTTCATGATGACGCTCGACACACACTCGTTCATGATGACGCTCGACACACACTCGCTCATGATGACGCTCGACACACACTCGCTCATGATGACGCTCGACACACACTCGCTCATGATGACGCTCGACACACACTCGTTCATGATGACGCTCGACACACACTCGTTCATGATGACGCTCGACACACACTCGTTCATGATGACGCTCGACACACACTCGTTCATGATGACGCTCGACACACACTCGTTCATGATGACGCTCGACACACACTCGTTCATGATGACGCTCGACACACACTCGTTCATGATGACGCTCGACACACACTCGTTCATGATGACGCTCGACACACACTCGCTCATGATGACGCTCGACACACACTCGTTCATGATGACGCTCGACACACACTCGTTTATGATGACGCTCGACACACACTCGTTCATGATGACGCTCGACACACACTCGTTCATGATGACGCTCGACACACACTCGTTTATGATGACGCTCGACACACACTCGTTCATGATGACGCTCGACACACACTCGTTCATGATGACGCTCGACACACACTCGTTCATGATGACGCTCGACACACACTCGTTCATGATGACGCTCGACACACACTCGTTCATGATGACGCTCGACACACACTCGTTCATGATGACGCTCGACACACACTCGCTCATGATGACGCTCGACACACACTCGTTCATGATGACGCTCGACACACACGTTCATGATGACGCTCGACACACACTCGTTCATGATGACGCTCGACACACACTCGTTCATGATGACGCTCGACACACACGTTCATGATGACGCTCGACACACACTCGTTCATGATGACGCTCGACACACACTCGTTCATGATGACGCTCGACACACACTCGTTTATGATGACGCTCGACACACACTCGTTATGATGACGCTCGACACACACTCGTTCATGATGACGCTCGACACACACTCGTTCATGATGACGCTCGACACACACTCGCTCATGATGACGCTCGACACACACTCGCTCATGATGACGCTCGACACACACTCGTTCATGATGACGCTCGACACACACTCGCTCATGATGACGCTCGACACACACGTTCATGATGACGCTCGACACACACTCGTTCATGATGACGCTCGACACACACTCGTTTATGATGACGCTCGACACACACTCGTTCATGACGCTCGACACACACTCGTTCATGATGACGCTCGACACACACTCGTTCATGATGACGCTCGACACACACTCGTTTATGATGACGCTCGACACACACTCGTTTATGATGACGCTCGACACACACTCGTTCATGATGACGCTCGACACAACGCTCGACACACACTCGTTCATGATGACGCTCGACACACACTCGCTCATGATGACGCTCGACACACACTCGCTCATGATGACGCTCGACACACACTCGCTCATGATGACGCTCGACACACACTCGTTCATGATGACGCTCGACACACACTCGTTCATGATGACGCTCGACACACACTCGTTCATGATGACGCTCGACACACACTCGCTCATGATGACGCTCGACACACACTCGCTCATGATGACGCTCGACACACACTCGTTCATGATGACGCTCGACACACACTCGTTCATGATGACGCTCGACACACACTCGTTCATGATGACGCTCGACACACACTCGTTTATGATGACGCTCGACACACACTCGTTCATGATGACGCTCGACACACACTCGTTCATGATGACGCTCGACAGACACTCGTTCATGATGACGCTCGACACACACTCGTTCATGATGACGCTCGACACACACTCGTTCATGATGACGCTCGACACACACTCGTTCATGATGACGCTCGACACACACTCGTTCATGATGACGCTCGACACACACTCGTTCATGATGACGCTCGACACACACTCGTTCATGATGACGCTCGACAGACACTCGTTCATGATGACGCTCGACACACACTCGTTCATGATGACGCTCGACAGACACTCGTTCATGATGACGCTCGACACACACTCGTTCATGATGACGCTCGACACACACTCGTTCATGATGACGCTCGACACACACTCGTTCATGATGACGCTCGACACACACTCGTTCATGATGACGCTCGACACACACTCGTTCATGATGACGCTCGACACACACTCGTTCATGATGACGCTCGACACACACTCGTTCATGATGACGCTCGACACACACTCGTTCATGATGACGCTCGACACACACTCGTTATGATGACGCTCGACACACACTCGTTCATGATGACGCTCGACACACACTCGTTTATGATGACGCTCGACACACACTCGTTTATGATGACGCTCGACACACACTCGTTCATGATGGAGGGAAAAGAGAAAGATTGCAGAAACTCACACTTTATTACTGATATTTAGTGACGGTTTTGAGCACATGGGATGGAAATGCTGCTTTATTCGCAGATGATTTAAGCAGTGTATGAGTGTGAGTGACTGTTATGATGGATAGATGCACTTTTATGGACTTAAAAAAATATACAGCCATTCACTGCCATTATAAAGCTTGGAAGAGCCAGGACATTTTTTAATATAACTCTGATTGTATTCGTCTGAGAGAAGAGTGTCATACACACCAGGGATGGCTTGAGGGAGAGTAAATCATGGGCTAATTTTTGTCTGAACTATCCCTTTAAGCAGTGTGTGTGTGTGTGTGTGTGAGAGACCTGTGCCTGGCGGACTGCGCTGCCGGCGGGGTTCTGCAGATCCGTCTTCATCTCCTCCAGAACACACACCTCCTGCTGTTTCTGCTGGAGCTCCTGATGGACGAGAGCTCGAGTCTCCAGCGCCGACACCGCGGACCGGAAGCCGAGAGTCTCCGCTCGATACGAGCTGAACTCCGCCAGCTGCGAGCGCATCTGCTCCTGCTGCTCCTCCACGGAGTGTGTGAGCCACAGGTTCTCCAGCAGAACCGACTCGATGTGTGTGTTCAGACTGATGATGCTGCTGCGGATCCGGTCCGTGTCGCAGTGAACGACGCTGAGCTGCTTCTCTTTCAGACTCACCGCAGAACACACACACTCGCAGCTCTGATCCACGTCCACCAGAGACGCCTGCAGGACACACACACACATACACAATTTGGGACCAAAAATAACTCAGACACTGTGAGCTGATCATGTTTTCTTCAGTGTGTTTTCTGTAACTGCTAATGCTCTTTTTACACACACACTGAACAACATGAAGCATTGCTTGGTCACTGGTTGAGCTAAACTGGTATTATCTAATTGTGTAGTTAAATTTAACAGCTGACAGATATTCAACATAATTCATGTGTGAGAGTCTAACAGAAGGACGGACAAAACCAGTCAGATATCCACTGTGTTCTGCTCATATTTATCACCATTTTCTAAACTATAGCGAATAAACTGATAATGTGAAAAATGTTGAAGGTGTCCGAATAATGTTGGTTTGACTGTAAATCATCCAGGACAGTGTGAGAGAGTGAGTGAGTGTGTGTGTGTGTGTGTGTGTGTGTGTGTGTGTGTGTGTGTGTGTGTGTGTGTGTGTGTGTGTGTGTGTGTGTGTGTGTGTGTGACAGAGAGAAAGAGAGTGAGTGTGTGTGTGTGTGTGTGTGCGTGTGTGTGTGTGTGTGTGTGTGTGTGTGTTAAAAAAGAGAGAAAGAGAGTGAGTGAGTGTGTGAGAGAGAAAGAGAGTGAGTGTGTGTGAGAGGGAGGAAGGAAGAAAGAGTGTGTGTGTGTGTGTGTGCGCGCGTGCACCTGTAGCGCGTGTAGCTGCTGCTGCGCGTCTCTCAGCTCCCGCGCGCGCGTCGCGCCCTGATGAAGAACCTCCTGTAGCGCGTTATTCAGAGGAAAGTCCTGCTGTCTGAACACAAACGGGGCTGTGTGCTCATTACACACTTATACTTAATTATCTTAATGTAAAGTGGCCTGATGAATCAGAAACGACTCAGTCGTCTCAGTCTGAACGGTTGATTTCTGTCAGAAGCGTCAAATGCTGTCGACTCAAAGTGGCGTCGACAAAAGCGAGCTAACTGGTTATCAAACAATATTTTTTTTTACAGTCTATGAACAATACATACACAATTTCGCAGTTTACTCTTTGATAAGATTAGAATTTACAACATTTTCCCCAGAAATATAGGGGATAAACTTTACCTGTTGTTGTCCATCATTACAGCGGGAAAGACGGATGACGGAGTTGCGCATGCGCGTCAATAACGTTATTTTAGAATCGTGAAAGGACAAGTTTTTGTAATTTTGTTGTTTTTGTAATTTTTATTATTTAAAAAAAAAATATATATAGTTTTAATTAATAGTTTTAGTTGTTTTAGTGCTTCAAATTAAACCAAACACAAACGTTTACTGACACAGACATAAACCTCATTGCTTCTTGCTCACGCAGCACTTTTGAGTTTCTGTTTAATAAACCTGGCATTGTACACTATGAATATTGTTGTCTGTGTGATGAATTGATTTCGTTCCTCTATCGTAGCTCTCTTTGGATAAATGCATAAATGTAGATGTTATAATTGAGCTGACAGAAGTGTAATGTTATGCTTAAAAAGTTCTGCAAACATTCAAGAACATTATCTTGTGAGGAAGGAATGTTTTAATAATGTTATTGTAACCTAACCTTATAAGTAACGTTCTAATTATGACAAGAAAACTGGACATTTTTACATTTTAGAAACATTTCAAGTTAATGTTCCCACAACGTTTTTAGAACAAAAAGTTTCAGAATTACGAGGGGGGTGGGGGGTCGCAGAAACCTTTGATATTTTTTATTCCCAGGCAGAAATAAACTTCCATAATTTAAATAACATTACAATAACAAATGCAACTCTTAACAAATGTTCTGATGTCCAACAGTGACTTTTAAGAACAAAATATCCTCTGCATTTTTTGGATTCATTACCCTTACTCATGTAGACTACACATCCCATGAGCCAACGCGCTGGTGACGTTTCCTGTCAAACAGCACCATGTGATGTTCCTGGGTTTCTCCTCCAGGGGTCGCTGAAATCTCATTGCACTTCTGTTTTAATAGAAACGTTTATACGACAGCAAGTAATTTTGTTTAAAACTAACTAATAGAATTTACCAAAAAAATGGAAATCATCACCTTCAATCTATATTTAATTAAACGTCGATAACCGGTAATCTCAAACGACTGTGATTGGTCCATCCTGAGCAATGCTGAGAAAAGTAACGCCTATCACAAGAGCTTACATTGTGTCTGACCAATCAGAGACAGCGCCGGCTACGAAGCCACGCCCTCTAAATATCTCGGTTTCCTTTTTTCTGTGGCCATGTGTGTGCTTGTGCTTTACTGACCTTTACTTTCATAGAGATGACCAGTAAATGGTCAGTTATCATGACAACATAAACCTTAAATAGCCAGCTGGAGTGATTTATTAACTGATTCTCCATTAATATGTTTTCGCTGTAATGGTTAGCTTGCTGCTAATAAATGATCGCGCTGATGTCGGCGGCTCTGATGCGGATCCTGAGGCGCGCTTCGCCTCGTCTTCAAACTGTGAGAATCTGCAGATCAAACAGCCACAAAACTGAGGATTTCCTGAAGAGCGAGGCGGTTCAGAGACGCATTAAACGCGTGATGGACGAGCAGAAGAGTATCACAGCTCGTTTAGAGAGAGGACAGATGACGGAGTCTGACAGGAGAGCTTTAAACCAAACACTAGTGGAAGCGTCGAGGGTCATTAACGCGTTTGAGAAAACTCAACTAGCGCTCAGGGAACTGGCTGAGATACAGACTCTCATTCACAGTGAGTGTTCTCCATGTTCTCCATATTTTCAGTGTTCTCAGTGTTCTCCATATTTTCAGTGTTCTCCATGTTCTCCATATTTTCAGTGTTCTCAGTGTTCTCCATATTTTCAGTGTTCTCCGTGTTCTCCGTGTTCTCAGTGTTCTCAGTGTTCTCCGTATTCTCTGTGTTCTCCGTATTCTCAGTGTTCTCCATGTTCTCTGTATTCTCAGTGTTCTCCGTATTCTCAGTGTTCTCCGTATTCCCAGTGTTCTCCATATTTTCAGTGTTCTCCGTGTTCTCTGTATTCTCAGTGTTCTCCGTATTCTCAGTGTTCTCCGTATTCCCAGTGTTCTCCATATTCCCAGTGTTCTCCATATTTTCAGTGTTCTCCATGTTCTCAGTGTTCTCCGTATTCTCAGTGTTCTCTGTATTCTCAGTGTTCTCCGTATTCCCAGTGTTCTCCGTATTCCCAGTGTTCTCCATATTCCCATTGTTCTCCATGTTCTCCGTGTTCTCCATGTTCTCAGTGTTCTCCGTATTCTCATTGTTCTCCATGTCCTCAGTGTTCTCCATGTTCTCCGTGTTCTCTGTGTTCTCCATGTTCTCCGTGTTCTCCATGTTCTCAGTGTTCTCCGTATTCTCATTGTTCTCTGTGTTCTCTGTGTTCTCCATGTTCTCCATGTTCTCCGTGTTCTCCGTGTTCTCATTGTTCTCCATGTTCTACGTGTTCTCCATGTTCTCCCTGTTCTCCGTGTTCTCCATGTTCTCCATGTTCTCCGTGTTCTCCATGTTCTCATTGTTCTCCATGTTCTCAGTGTTCTCCATGTTCTCAGTGTTCTCCGTATTCTCATTGTTCTCCATGTTCTCCGTGTTCTCCATGTTCTCCATGTTCTCCGTGTTCTCCATGTTCTCAGTGTTCTCCGTATTCTCATTGTTCTCCATGTTTTTCAGTGTTCTCCATGTTCTCAGTGTTCTCCGTATTCTCATTGTTCTCCATGTTATCCGTGTTCTCCATGTTCTCCATGTTCTCCGTGTTCTCCATGTTCTCAGTGCTCTCAGTGTTCTCATTGTTCTCAGTGTTCTCCGTATTCTCATTGTTCTCCATGTTCTCCGTGTTCTCCGTGTTCTCCGTGCTCTCAGTGTTCTCAGTGTTCTCAGTGTTCTCAGTGTTCTCAGTGTTCTCCATGTTCTCAGTGTTCTCCATGTTCTCAGTGTTCTCCATGTTCTCAGTGTTCTCCATATTCTCATTGTTCTCCATGTTCTCATTGTTCTCCATGTTCTCCATGTTCTCATTGTTCTCCATGTTCTCCATGTTCTCCATGTTCTCAGTGCTCTCAGTGTTCTCAGTGTTCTCAGTGTTCTCAGTGTTCTCAGTGTTCTCATTGTTCTCATTATTCTCATTATTCTCCGTGTTCTCAGTGTTCTCAGTGTTCTCAGTGTTCTCAGTGTTCTCCATGTTCTCAGTGTTCTCCATGTTCTCAGTGTTCTCCGTATTCTCATTGTTCTCCATGTTCTCCGTGTTCTCCGTGTTCTCCGTGCTCTCCGTGTTCTCAGTGTTCTCCATGTTCTCAGTGTTCTCCATGTTCTCAGTGTTCTCAGTGTTCTCCGTATTCTCATTGTTCTCCATGTTCTCATTGTTCTCCATGTTCTCCATGTTCTCCATGTTCTCCATGTTCTCAGTGTTCTCAGTGTTCTCATTGTTCTCATTGTTCTCATTGTTCTCATTGTTCTCATTGTTCTCATTATTCTCATTATTCTCCGTGTTCTCATTGTTCTCATTGTTCTCAGTGTTCTCCGTGTTCTCATTGTTCTCCATGTTTTCAGTGTTCTCCGTGTTCTCCGTGTTCTCCGTGTTCTCCGTGTTCTCAGTGTTCTCAGTGTTCTCAGTGTTCTCAGTGTTCTCAGTGTTCTCCGTGTTCTCAGTGTTCTCCGTATTCTCATTGTTCTCCATGTTCTCCATGTTCTCAGTGCTCTCAGTGTTCTCAGTGTTCTCATTGTTCTCATTGTTCTCATTATTCTCATTATTCTCCGTGTTCTCAGTGTTCTCAGTGTTCTCAGTGTTCTCCGTGTTCTCAGTGTTCTCCATGTTCTCCATGTTCTCCATGTTCTCCATGTTCTCAGTGTTCTCAGTGTTCTCAGTGTTCTCAGTGTTCTCATTGTTCTCATTGTTCTCATTGTTCTCATTGTTCTCATTGTTCTCATTATTCTCATTATTCTCCGTGTTCTCATTGTTCTCAGTGTTCTCAGTGTTCTCAGTGTTCTCAGTGTTCTCCGTGTTCTCAGTGTTCTCCGTATTCTCATTGTTCTCCATGTTCTCCATGTTCTCAGTGCTCTCAGTGTTCTCAGTGTTCTCATTGTTCTCATTGTTCTCATTATTCTCATTATTCTCCGTGTTCTCAGTGTTCTCAGTGTTCTCATTGTTCTCATTGTTCTCATTGTTCTCAGTGTTCTCAGTGTTCTCAGTGTTCTCAGTGTTCTCAGTGTTCTCAGTGTTCTCCGTATTCTCATTGTTCTCCATGTTCTCCGTGTTCTCCATGTTCTCAGTGTTCTCCGTGTTCTCAGTGTTCTCCGTATTCTCATTGTTCTCCATGTTCTCCATGTTCTCAGTGTTCTCATTGTTCTCCGTGTTCTCATTGTTCTCCATGTTCTCATTGTTCTCCATGTTATCTGTGTTCTCAGTGTTCTCCGTGTTCTCATTGTTCTCCATGTTCTCATTGTTCTCCATGTTATCTGTGTTCTCAGTGTTCTCCGTATTCTCATTGTTCTCCATGTTTTCAGTGTTCTCCGTGTTCTCCGTGTTCTCAGTGTTCTCCATGTTCTCCATGTTCTCAGTGTTCTCCGTATTCTCATTGTTCTCCATGTTCTCCATGTTCTCCATGTTCTCAGTGTTCTCAGTGTTCTCCGTGTTCTCAGTGTTCTCCGTATTCTCATTGTTCTCCATGTTCTCAGTGTTCTCCGTGTTCTCAGTGTTCTCCGTATTCTCATTGTTCTCCATGTTCTCCGTGTTCTCATTGTTCTCCATGTTCTCATTGTTCTCCATGTTATCTGTGTTCTCAGTGTTCTCAGTGTTCTCAGTGTTCTCAGTGTTCTCAGTGTTCTCTGTGTTCTCTGTGTTCTCTGTGTTCTCTGTGTTCTCTGTGTTCTCCGTATTCTCATTGTTCTCCATGTTTTCAGTGTTCTCCATGTTCTCCATGTTTTCAGTGTTCTCCATGTTCTCTGTGTTCTCAGTGTTCTCAGTGTTCTCAGTGTTCTCATTGTTCTCATTATTCTCATTATTCTCAGTGTTCTCAGTGTTCTCAGTGTTCTCATTGTTCTCATTGTTCTCATTGTTCTCATTATTCTCCGTGTTCTCAGTGTTCTCAGTGTTCTCATTGTTCTCCATGTTCTCATTGTTCTCCATGTTCTCCGTGTTCTCATTGTTCTCCATGTTCTCATTGTTCTCCATGTTATCTGTGTTCTCAGTGTTCTCAGTGTTCTCAGTGTTCTCAGTGTTCTCAGTGTTCTCAGTGTTCTCAGTGTTCTCAGTGTTCTCAGTGTTCTCAGTGTTCTCTGTGTTCTCAGTGTTCTCCGTATTCTCATTGTTCTCCATGTTCTCCATGTTCTCAGTGCTCTCAGTGTTCTCAGTGTTCTCAGTGTTCTCCATGTTCTCCGTATTCTCATTGTTCTCCATGTTCTCCATGTTCTCAGTGCTCTCAGTGTTCTCAGTGTTCTCAGTGTTCTCATTGTTCTCATTATTCTCATTATTCTCAGTGTTCTCAGTGTTCTCAGTGTTCTCAGTGTTCTCAGTGTTCTCAGTGTTCTCTGTGTTCTCAGTGTTCTCCGTATTCTCATTGTTCTCCATGTTCTCCATGTTCTCAGTGCTCTCAGTGTTCTCAGTGTTCTCAGTGTTCTCCATGTTCTCCGTATTCTCATTGTTCTCCATGTTCTCCATGTTCTCAGTGCTCTCAGTGTTCTCAGTGTTCTCAGTGTTCTCATTGTTCTCATTATTCTCATTATTCTCAGTGTTCTCAGTGTTCTCAGTGTTCTCATTGTTCTCATTGTTCTCATTGTTCTCATTATTCTCCGTGTTCTCAGTGTTCTCATTGTTCTCCATGTTCTCATTGTTCTCCATGTTCTCCGTGTTCTCATTGTTCTCCATGTTCTCCATGTTCTCAGTGCTCTCAGTGTTCTCAGTGTTCTCAGTGTTCTCATTGTTCTCATTATTCTCATTATTCTCAGTGTTCTCAGTGTTCTCAGTGTTCTCAGTGTTCTCATTGTTCTCATTGTTCTCATTATTCTCCGTGTTCTCAGTGTTCTCATTGTTCTCCATGTTCTCATTGTTCTCCATGTTCTCCGTGTTCTCATTGTTCTCCATGTTCTCATTGTTCTCCATGTTCTCAGTGTTCTCAGTGTTCTCAGTGTTCTCTGTGTTCTCTGTGTTCTCAGTGTTCTCAGTGTTCTCAGTGTTCTCAGTGTTCTCAGTGTTCTCAGTGTTCTCAGTGTTCTCAGTGTTCTCAGTGTTCTCAGTGTTCTCAGTGTTCTCAGTGTTCTCCGTATTCTCCGTATTCTCATTGTTCTCCATGTTCTCCATGTTCTCAGTGCTCTCAGTGTTCTCAGTGTTCTCAGTGTTCTCCATGTTCTCCGTATTCTCATTGTTCTCCATGTTCTCAGTGCTCTCAGTGTTCTCAGTGTTCTCAGTGTTCTCATTGTTCTCATTATTCTCATTATTCTCAGTGTTCTCAGTGTTCTCAGTGTTCTCATTGTTCTCATTGTTCTCATTGTTCTCATTATTCTCCGTGTTCTCAGTGTTCTCAGTGTTCTCATTGTTCTCATTGTTCTCATTGTTCTCATTGTTCTCAGTGTTCTCAGTGTTCTCCGTATTCTCATTGTTCTCCATGTTCTCCGTGTTCTCCATGTTCTCAGTGTTCTCCGTGTTCTCAGTGTTCTCCGTATTCTCTGTGTTCTCAGTGTTCTCAGTGTTCTCCGTATTCTCATTGTTCTCCATGTTTTCAGTGTTCTCCATGTTCTCCATGTTTTCAGTGTTCTCCATGTTCTCCATGTTCTCTGTGTTCTCATTGTTCTCCATGTTCTCATTGTTCTCCATGTTATCTGTGTTCTCAGTGTTCTCCGTATTCTCATTGTTCTCCATGTTTTCAGTGTTCTCCGTGTTCTCCGTGTTCTCAGTGTTCTCCATGTTCTCCATGTTCTCAGTGTTCTCAGTGTTCTCCGTGTTCTCCGTATTCTCATTGTTCTCCATGTTCTCCATGTTCTCAGTGTTCTCCGTGTTCTCATTGTTCTCCATGTTCTCATTGTTCTCCATGTTATCTGTGTTCTCAGTGTTCTCAGTGTTCTCAGTGTTCTCAGTGTTCTCAGTGTTCTCAGTGTTCTCAGTGTTCTCAGTGTTCTCCATGTTCTCCATGTTCTCAGTGTTCTCCGTATTCTCATTGTTCTCCATGTTCTCAGTGTTCTCCGTGTTCTCCGTGTTCTCCATGTTATCTGTGTTCTCAGTGTTCTCCGTATTCTCAGTGTTCTCCGTGTTCTCCGTGTTCTCAGTGTTCTCCATGTTCTCCATGTTCTCAGTGTTCTCCGTATTCTCATTGTTCTCCATGTTCTCCATGTTCTCCATGTTCTCAGTGTTCTCCGTATTCTCATTGTTCTCCATGTTCTCCATGTTCTCCATGTTCTCAGTGTTCTCCGTGTTCTCAGTGTTCTCCGTATTCTCATTGTTCTCCATGTTTTCAGTGTTCTCCGTGTTCTCCGTGTTCTCAGTGTTCTCCATGTTCTCCATGTTCTCAGTGTTCTCCGTATTCTCATTGTTCTCCATGTTCTCCATGTTCTCCATGTTCTCAGTGTTCTCCGTGTTCTCAGTGTTCTCCGTATTCTCATTGTTCTCCATGTTCTCCATGTTCTCAGTGTTCTCCATGTTCTCAGTGTTCTCCGTATTCTCATTGTTCTCCATGTTCTCCATGTTCTCAGTGTTCTCCGTGTTCTCCGTGTTCTCATTGTTCTCATTGTTCTCCATGTTATCTGTGTTCTCAGTGTTCTCAGTGTTCTCAGTGTTCTCAGTGTTCTCAGTGTTCTCAGTGTTCTCAGTGTTCTCAGTGTTCTCAGTGTTCTCAGTGTTCTCCGTATTCTCATTGTTCTCCATGTTTTCAGTGTTCTCCATGTTCTCCATGTTTTCAGTGTTCTCCATGTTCTCCATGTTTTCAGTGTTCTCCATGTTCTCCATGTTCTCTGTGTTCTCATTGTTCTCCATGTTCTCATTGTTCTCCATGTTATCTGTGTTCTCAGTGTTCTCCGTGTTCTCCGTGTTCTCAGTGTTCTCAGTGTTCTCAGTGTTCTCCATGTTCTCCATGTTCTCCATGTTCTCCGTGTTCTCCGTGTTCTCCGTATTCTCATTGTTCTCCATGTTCTCCATGTTCTCAGTGCTCTCAGTGTTCTCAGTGTTCTCAGTGTTCTCATTGTTCTCATTGTTCTCATTATTCTCATTATTCTCCGTGTTCTCAGTGTTCTCAGTGTTCTCATTGTTTTCATTGTTCTCATTGTTCTCATTATTCTCATTATTCTCCGTGTTCTCAGTGTTCTCATTGTTCTCATTGTTCTCATTGTTCTCCATGTTCTCCGTGTTCTCCATGTTCTCAGTGTTCTCCGTGTTCTCAGTGTTCTCAGTGTTCTCCGTATTCTCTGTGTTCTCAGTGTTCTCAGTGTTCTCCGTATTCTCATTGTTCTCCATGTTTTCAGTGTTCTCCATGTTCTCCATGTTTTCAGTGTTCTCCATGTTCTCCATGTTCTCTGTGTTCTCATTGTTCTCCATGTTCTCATTGTTCTCCATGTTTTCAGTGTTCTCCATGTTCTCCATGTTTTCAGTGTTCTCCATGTTCTCCATGTTCTCTGTGTTCTCATTGTTCTCCATGTTCTCATTGTTCTCCATGTTATCTGTGTTCTCAGTGTTCTCCGTATTCTCATTGTTCTCAGTGTTCTCATTGTTCTCCATGTTCTCATTGTTCTCCATGTTATCTGTGTTCTCAGTGTTCTCAGTGTTCTCCGTATTCTCATTGTTCTCCATGTTCTCACTGTTCTCCATGTTATCTGTGTTCTCAGTGTTCTCAGTGTTCTCAGTGTTCTCAGTGTTCTCAGTGTTCTCAGTGTTCTCAGTGTTCTCAGTGTTCTCAGTGTTCTCATTGTTCTCCATGTTATCTGTGTTCTCAGTGTTCTCAGTGTTCTCCGTGTTCTCCGTGTTCTCCGTGTTCTCCATGTTCTCCATGTTATCCGTGTTCTCAGTGTTCTCAGTGTTCTCAGTGTTCTCAGTGTTCTCAGTGTTCTCAGTGTTCTCAGTGTTCTCAGTGTTCTCAGTGTTCTCAGTGTTCTCAGTGTTCTCCGTATTCTCATTGTTCTCCGTGTTCTCCGTGTTCTCCATGTTCTCCATGTTTTCAGTGTTCTCCATGTTCTCCATGTTCTCCATGTTCTCAGTGTTCTCCGTGTTCTCCGTGTTCTCCGTGTTCTCCGTGTTCTCCGTGTTCTCCGTGTTCTCCGTGTTCTCCGTGTTCTCCGTGTTCTCCATGTTCTCCATGTTTTCAGTGTTCTCCATGTTCTCCATGTTCTCCGTGTTCTCCGTGTTCTCCGTGTTCTCCGTGTTCTCCGTGTTCTCCGTGTTCTCCGTGTTCTCATTGTTCTCCGTGTTCTCCGTGTTCTCCATGTTCTCCATGTTTTCAGTGTTCTCCATGTTCTCCATGTTCTCCATGTTCTCAGTGTTCTCCGTGTTCTCCGTGTTCTCCGTGTTCTCCGTGTTCTCATTGTTCTCATTGTTCTCATTATTCTCCGTGTTCTCAGTGTTCTCATTGTTCTCATTGTTCTCATTGTTCTCCATGTTCTCCGTGTTCTCCATGTTCTCAGTGTTCTCCGTGTTCTCAGTGTTCTCAGTGTTCTCCGTATTCTCTGTGTTCTCAGTGTTCTCAGTGTTCTCCGTATTCTCATTGTTCTCCATGTTTTCAGTGTTCTCCATGTTCTCCATGTTTTCAGTGTTCTCCATGTTCTCCATGTTCTCTGTGTTCTCATTGTTCTCCATGTTCTCATTGTTCTCCATGTTTTTTAGTGTTCTCAGTGTTCTCAGTGTTCTCCGTGTTCTCCGTGTTCTCCATGTTCTCCATGTTATCCGTGTTCTCAGTGTTCTCCGTGTTCTCAGTGTTCTCCGTATTCTCTGTGTTCTCAGTGTTCTCAGTGTTCTCCGTATTCTCATTGTTCTCCATGTTATCTGTGTTCTCAGTGTTCTCCGTATTCTCATTGTTCTCCATGTTATCTGTGTTCTCAGTGTTCTCCATGTTCTCCATGTTCTCTGTGTTCTCATTGTTCTCCATGTTCTCATTGTTCTCCATGTTATCTGTGTTCTCAGTGTTCTCCGTATTCTCATTGTTCTCCATGTTTTCAGTGTTCTCCGTGTTCTCCGTGTTCTCAGTGTTCTCCATGTTCTCCATGTTCTCAGTGTTCTCCGTATTGTCATTGTTCTCAGTGTTCTCCATGTGTTCCAGACACCAGTGCTGAAGAGCAGCAGATGCTTGAGCTCCTGCGAGAGGAACATGAGGCGCTGAGCAGAAGAATAAAGCAGCTCAACACGAAGGTTTGGACTGTTCCTTCACTCGGCTATCAGGAATGGTGTCAGGAGAAAGTCAGATGTTGTTTTCCCATTGCAGCTGATGGAGGCGCTGGTTCCCGCCGAGGAGCTGGACGACAGGAGTGTTGTGCTCGAGGTCGCATCGGGACGGACCACCGGAGGTTAGATCACAGTCCCGTCAGACACCAGAGGCTCGCTGACGTGTGTGTGTGACGTGTGTGTGTGTGTGTGTGTGTGTGTGTGTGTGTAGGAGACGTCTGCCAGCAGTTCACTCGAGAGATCTTCGACATGTACCAAGGCTTCGCCTGCTATAAACACTGGGACTTTGAGCTCTGCAATTACACTCCGGCAGATTACGGTACGCCTCACACAGCGGCACAGGGGTCCTCAGACCCAACTAAAGTAGTTAAGTACAGCAGTAAGTTAATTAAAATAAATGATTGAAAAAAATGTTTAGTTATTACAAAATATTATGGATAAAATTTGATTTAAATACAGAAATAAAAATGGGGGGAAAAATTAGTTATTCGTCTATTTAATAAAAATACATATACAAAATACATTATACAAGTATAATAATAATAATAATAATAATCATCATTTTATTTCAGGCAATGGCACAGAAAGTACAAGGCAGACAAAATATTGTTAAGTCATACAGTGCAAAAAAGAAACAAAAAAACAAAAACAGAACATACAGTATTTAACTGACAATCGAATTCTGCCTGAAAGGGAGTGGGAAGAAGACAACTTATTTAATCCCACCCCAGTTCCCCATTTGGTGATTAATACATTGAGCTTCATTGTTCTAGTTTTAAACTTTAATTTTAACGTGTGTGTGTGTGCGTGTGTTCGTGTGCGCGTATGTGGGTGACTGTGTACGTGACTCTGTGTGTGTGTGTGTATGTGCGTGCGTGTGTGTGTGTGTGTGTGAATCTGCGTGCGTGTGTGTTTGTGTCTGCGTGACTGTGTGTGTGTGTCTCGTGTGTGTGTGTCTGCGTGACTGTGTGTGTGTGTGTGTATGTGTGTGCGTGTGTGTGTGTGTCTCGTGTGTGTGTGTCTGCATGACTGTGTGTGTGTGTGTGTGTGTGTGTCTGCTTGACTGTGTGCGTGTGTGTGTGTGTGTGCGTGCGTGTGTGTGTGTCTCGTGTGTGTGTGTCTGCATGACTGTGTGTGTGTGTGTGTGTCTGCTTGACTGTGTGTGTGTGTGCGTGCGTGTGTGTGTGTGTGTCTGCTTGACTGTGCGTGACTGTGTGCGTGTGTGTATGTGTGTGTATGTGTGTGTGTGTGTGTCTGTGTGCGTGTGTGTGTGTCTGCTTGATTGTGTGTGTGTGTGTGTGTGTGTGTGTGTGTGTGTGTGTGTGTGTGTGTGTGTGTCAGGAGGGCTTCATCACGCCGCCGCCAGGATCTCGGGGGACTCCGTGTTTCGCTGGCTGAGGTTCGAGGGAGGGACTCATCGAGTGCAGAGGATTCCTGAAGTCGGTCTGTCGTCACGCATGCAGCGAATCCACACGGGAACCGTCACGGTTATAGTTCTGCCGCAGCCACGGGAGGTCAGTTGGGATACATTTTTGAATTAATCATAACTAATATTTATTTTTCTTGCAGGAATAACATTCAAACCACTCAGTCAGTGTGTGTGTGTGTGTGTGTGTTAGTGAATCATGTCCGAATATAACAAAAGGGAAATGAAACTAGACTAGATGATCTACTGATGAGGGAACTATAATTCTCAGGCATTTTCAGATCCGAGTTGAATTCACCAGAGTATAGTGCGTAGGGGAAACTCTACCACACAGTCGATCGCTGTTCAGCTGCGTCGTGCTTGTGTGTGTGAGTTTGTTCTGATGTGTGTGACGTGTAATATATCTACAGGTGGACGTCCACATCGCGGCTAAAGACCTGCGTATCGACACGTTCAGGTCTCGCGGCGCCGGCGGACAGAGCGTCAACACCACCGACAGCGCCGTACGCGTGGTTCACCTGCCCACAGGTGCGGGTCACGACACGACACAGGGTTACGCCACGACACAGGGTTACGACACGACACAGGGTTACGCCACACACAGGGTTACGACACGACACAGGGTTACGCCACGACACAGGGTTACGCCACGACACAGGGTTACGACACGACACAGGGTTACGCCACGACACAGGGTTACGCCACGACACAGGGTTACGCCACACACAGGGTTACGACACGACACAGGGTTACGCCACGACACAGGGTTACGCCACGACACAGGGTTACGCCACGACACAGGGTTACGCCACACACAGGGTTACGCCACGACACAGGGTTACGCCACGACACAGGGTTACGACACACACAGGGTTACGACACGACACAGGGTTACGAGACGACACAGGGTTACGACACGACACAGGGTTATGACACGATTATGACACGACACAGGGTTACGACACAGGGTTAGGACACGACACAGGGTTACGACACGACACAGGGTTATGACACGATTATGACACGACACAGGGTTAGGACACGACACGACACAGGGTTATAACAAGACACAGGGTTACGACACAGGATTATGACACGACACAGGGTTACGACACAGGGTTAGGACACGACACAGGGTTACGACACAACACGACACAGGGTTATGACACGATTATGACACGACACAGGGTTAGGACACAACAAAGGGTTATGACAAGACACAGGGTTACGACACGACACAGGGTTATGACACGACACAGGGTTACGAGACGACACAGGGTTACGACACAGGGTTAGGACACGACACAGGGTTACGCCACGACACAGGGTTACGCCACGACACAGGGTTACGCCACGACACAGGGTTACGCCACGACACAGGGTTACGACACACACAGGGTTACGACACGACACAGGGTTACGCCACGACACAGGGTTACGCCACGACACAGGGTTACGCCACGACACAGGGTTACGACACACACAGGGTTACGACACGACACAGGGTTACGACACAGGGTTACGCCACGACACAGGGTTACGACACGACACAGGGTTACGAGACGACACAGGGTTACGAGACGACACAGGGTTACGCCACGACACGGTTACGACACGACACAGGGTTACGACACGACACAGGGTTACGCCACGACACAGGATTAGGACACGACACAGGGTTACGACACGACACAGGGTTATGACACGATTATGACACAACACAGGGTTACGACACAGGGTTAGGACACGACACAGGGTTACGACACGACACAGGGTTATGACACGATTATGACACGACACAGGGTTAGGACACGACACGACACAGGGTTATAACAAGATACAGGGTTACGACACAGGATTATGACACGACACAGGGTTACGACACAGGGTTACGACACAACACGACACAGGGTTATGACACGATTATGACACGACACAGGGTTAGGACACAACAAAGGGTTATGACAAGACACAGGGTTACGACACGACACAGGGTTATGACACGACACAGGGTTACGAGACGACACAGGGTTACGAGACGACACAGGGTTACGCCACGACACAGGGTTACGCCACGACACAGGGTTACGCCACGACACAGGGTTACGACACGACACAGGGTTACGCCACGACACAGGGTTACGCCACGACACAGGGTTACGACACGACACAGGATTATGACACGACACAGGGTTACGACACAGGGTTAGGACACGACACAGGGTTACGACACAACACGACACAGGGTTATGACACGATTATGACACGACACAGGGTTAGGACACGACACAGGGTTATGACAAGACACAGGGTTACGACACGACACAGGGTTACACCACGATTATGACACGACACAGGGTTATGACACTTAAAGGGATAGTTCACCCAAAAATGAAAATTAGCCCATGATTTACTCGCCCTCAAGTCATCCTAGGTGTATATGACATTCTTCTTTCAGACGAATACATTTAGAGTTATATTTTAAAATATCGTATATTATAATGGATTGATGCACTTTAATGATGGATAGATGCGCTTTTATGATGGACAGATGCGCTTTTATGATGGACAGATGGACTTTTATGATGGATAGATGCACTTTAATGATGGATAGATGCACTTTTATGATGGATTGATGCGCTTTTATGATGGTTAGATGCACTTTTATGATGGATAGATGCACTTTTATGATGGTTAGATGCACTTTTATGATGGTTAGATGCACTTTTATGATGGATTGATGCGCTTTTATGATGGTTAGATGCACTTTAATGATGGATAGATGCACTTTTATGATGGACAGATGCACTTTTATGATGGATAGATGCACTTTTATGATGGTTAGATGCACTTTTATGATGGATTGATGCGCTTTTATGATGGTTAGATGCACTTTAATGATGGATAGATGCACTTTTATGATGGACAGATGCACTTTTATGATGGATAGATGCACTTTTATGATGGTTAGATGCACTTTTATGATGGTTAGATGCACTTTTATGATGGATAGATGCACTTTTATGATGGATAGATGCACTTTTATGATGGACAGATGCACTTTTATGATGGACAGATGCACTTTTATGATGGTTAGATGCACTTTTATGATGGATAGATGCACTTTTATGATGGATAGATGCACTTTTATGATGGACAGATGCACTTTTATGATGGATAGATGCACTTTAATGATGGATAGATGCACTTTAATGATGGATAGATGCACTTTTATGATGGATAGATGCACTTTTATGATGGATAGATGCACTTTTATGATGGATAGATACACTTTTATGGACTTCAAAACAGAAACGGCCATTCACTGCCATTATAAGCTTGGAAGAGCCAGGACATTTTTTAATATAACTCTTATTGTGTTCGTCTGAGAGAAGAGTGTCATACACACCAGGGATGGCTTGAGGCCGAGTAAATCATGGGCTAATTTTCAAGTTTGGGTGAACTATCCCAGTAAAATTTCTGATTTGACTGCACGACACTATTGCCTTTTTACAGCTGAATTTGCATCATTGATTCTATTATTTTCCTGTTTCTCGCGGTGAATCTGGACTCAGTTTAGTCTTCTGTCTTCAGGAACGGTCGCTGAGTGCCAGCAGTTTCGCTCTCAGCTGAAGAACCGCGACACGGCGCTGCGTGTTCTCCGAGCGCGGCTGTTCCAGTGCATCATGGGACAGCAGAGAGAGCAAACGCACAGCGCTCGCAGACAACAGGCCAGTTCACCAATCCAGCCAAACACCTGATGACGTCAGCTGAGTATCTTCAGCCATTTGCTTCTCCATTTATAATGACTTTTAGTAACATGTGTTTGTGTGTCTCAGGTGGGCTCTCGATGTCAGTCGGACAGAATACGCACTTATAACTTCAGTCAAGATCGAGTGACGGACCACAGGATTGGTCATGTGACGCGTGACATCAAGGTAACGTTCTGAATGCTGGTGATATGTAATGTAAGGAATAATGAACATCCAGCTGGTTGTTATCTCAGAATAAACCCTGACTGGGGATCAGGAACACGATTGACCAATCAGAATCAAGTATTCCACAGAGCCGTGTGATAAAAACCTTCTGTATCATATCTGATATGAGCTCTAAATACTGAACATGATCTGATAAACCTGTCGATCTCCTCCAGTCCTTCTGTCTCTGACTGACAGTTTACACTCTTTTATCAAGTAAAGTCTTTCAGTTTAATTGTACAAACGTCCTTCAGCTCGAGTCTTTATGATCTGAAATCTGCACTCATTTTTATCAAGTAAACATGAGAATAACTTTGATATTGTTAGTAATATTTCAGCTGGACTGAAGCAGGTTTACTTAGACATCCAGACATACCAGACATCATTTATTATAAAAATCATTTGTGTCAAATATGATCATCAGGTTTTTTACAACAGAAATGAACCATCAGTGTTATCTCTGTAAAGCTGCAAGACTCGGTGTTGTAAAAAGCGCTATAGAAATAAAGGCGACTTGACTTTAAATATCATCTAAGACATATTATTGGCAGATATTGATATGCATTTTATGTCAGCATCTGCTATACCGTTATAAAGATCTCATTGATTTACAATCATCAGAATTTCATGTAAATATCAGCGTCTGCAGCAAACATATTTTAATCAAATTAAACTGTTTTTTCCTCTATATTCTCACTATATCAGACTATATGAGCCATAAAAGCCTGATGGATCGAGTATGATACTCAACAGACTTTTCTTTTTACATTTTTATATTTCATGTAAAGGTTCAATAAACTGTTCAAATTTTTTTTTTAAATTTGTACTATTATTTTATATACCAGGCTTTACAGGGTTAAGTGTCTCAACAGCAAAACGGTCTACATTGTCCCAGATCAGTTCCGGTGTCAGATGTGTTTGTGTGCAGGCGTTCCTGCGGGGCGGAGAGGATCTGGAGGATCTGATCCGAATCCTTCAGGAGAAACACGACCTGCTCAAACTCACCGACATCAGCTGATCCAGACACACTTCCTCATACGTCTCTACGTGTACATATAAACTATATTCTATATATGTATAAGCAGCTTCATGCCTCGACTCATTAATACAGTAAATGCTGAAGGTCAAACATCAACATTCGATGTTAATAATATGCAAGAATGACAGATCACTGCAGGTCACATGACATTCAGCCTTCAGTCATAGTTTTAATGTTTACATGTTATTGAGCTGGGTGATATTATGGCATATATTTTGTTGAGTATGTATCACATTATGTAAGTAAAAGTTGTATATACATACGATTTAAGTTTTCATTTTGTGGTGTTGATCATGAAACGGTGGTTGAGTGTGTCTGATGTGGGTGTGGAGAGCGACCATCATCTCGATATCGAGGCGTTGAGCCTATCAGACACTCACAGACACACTCCTGACGACACGCTATCATCAAAACACACATATCAAATTTAATTTTGTTTTCTTCTAGATCTGCTGTCCAGGAGAAACAAACTTAGTTGCATTATTTTCCTGCCATCTCTGTAAAGCTGCTTTATAAATAAACGTGACTTGACCAGTGCATGAGGATCAATAACAACGAAAAAACCTAAACACAGGAAAGGAACTGGAATTATGTCGTTTTAATGTAAAAAGTTTTAATGTCATTTGAGGTGAATGTCGTGAGCAGAGAAAGGCTCGGTTCATCTGTAAGACATTAAGTGGTAATTAAACTATGGCTTTAATTCTTCAAAGCCAACAATTACAAATATTCTAAAACACACACACAACAGTATGAAAGCTCGTTTCTGCCATGGAATAAAACAAAAATCATACAATTGTGAGTTTATATCGTGTGAGAAAAGTTACAATTGCATAATTTTTTATTCCGTGTTTCGAACTAGCTTCCGTACATTATTATCACTCAAACATATAGAAGCAAAACTGATTCCTGGAAATATTCACAAAAAGAGTATTTAAAGGCAGTTAAAACGTCGCCTGCCAACAATTTATAAAATACAAAACATAGTAAAGCGCAGAAGCTGTAAAGACTGGTCTGAGTCTACTCGTCCTCGCCTCTCTGCCGGAGGATCCGGGATTTGCCGTTCTCGGTCTTCCTCTTCCTGAAAGTGGTTCCGGCGCCGGCTTCGGACCCCAGAGACGTGATGGTGCGCTCCTTAAACCGGGGCCGGGGCTCTCGGGGGACGACGGATGCAGTCGGGGCGAAACTCTCCACCTGCGGGAGCTGCAGATCCACCTTCTCACTGCACACACACACACACACGTTTTCAGTGTAAAAGCTGTCATGTAAGCGGCCCCTAAGTTAATAACTAATGATCTTTGCAACAGACCCTAACACTACAATTTATATTGTTAAAAGTGCTATATAAATGAAGGTGACTTGACTTCATCTACATCATTACGAAAAGTAACATGTCCTAAAAGTCAAACGTTTATGAAACCGAAGCAGCGTCAGATATTTTCCTCTGTATTGTGTGCATCCGGTCTGTAACGGGACTCTGTTGTGTGCATCAGTTGCTGATTGGATGTTGAGATGTGGGCGTGGCACTCAGAAGTGTATGCAGATGAGCGTGAGCTTGTAGGGGTGGAGCTTAATCGCACTAAATGATTGGAGAATCCTGCATACGTCACCAGAAGATCCAGTTACGACAGTCTGATTAAACATTAAGGTCAAAACTTTTTAAAAAATATGAAACATATGCGCAAATAACTTGGTCACAATAAAATTAATAACGCATTTAGAAAATAGATTCTAAATGCGTGTTATAGATTTAGAAAAAAGTGGATTTGCATTTAATGCCAACTTTAAATGTATTAATATTTAGGCATGACCCGAGGAATCTAGTGAGTCTCGTGATTTTAGGCCAAACTGTTCTGAAGTTATAAGCAAAAATAAAAAAAAATCATTTCTCCTGTCCACTAGGTGGCACTGCGCTGAAACTGTGCAGGTTTCCTCGGGTCATGGTTGCCATAACACACACCAAGTTTGGTCAGAATACACTGAAGTGTTGCAGATATAGCATCATATTCATTTTGACGTGTTCTTCGTTGAATTCGTTTACATGTTATTTCGAGAACGGTTTGACGAATCGAATTGAATTCCATGTTTTTTTGTTGGCAAATAGTTTGAAAAAGTCGTTTTTTTTGGAAAATTCAAAATGGCGAAATTCTTTTCAGGAAATGACATCATAGGGTGAAATCGAATCGTCTCGAGCCAAAGACTCAGAGGGAAATGTTTGTTTCTGGCCCTTACGATTCTAAGGTTATTAGCATAAGCGTGAGTGGCGCTTTGGACAGTTGGTGGCGCTAGAGCGCTTGAGTTGCAGAGCGCAGGATTGCTGTGGCCGTCCTCTGTCTGTGTGCCAGATCTCAGCTTCAGTGGGCCGCCCGCCGCAGACTTCCAGAGAAGAGGAAGAAGACTAACGGATGCTTACACTCCTAACTAAACCCGAACATAACTAACAAATTAAATGGAAACTAAAACTATAAAAATAAAAGCTAACTCAAAATATTAATAAAACTAAAATAGAAACTTGAACAATTTGTTTTTTAAGTGTAATTCACCTCACAAACACAGTGTTGTTTTGACTAGCATCTTATGAATATGTCATAAGTCTTACTATGGGTCCTCCACCGGCGTGATCCGTTCCCAGGATCCGTATGGATTGATCTTCCTGGCTCTCTTCACTGGGATCACGATCTCCTTCACCGCCACAGGAGCGCTCGTTTCTTCCTCCTTCTGCGCAGCGTTCCCTCCATCATCGGGGGTTTTCTCTCCTCCGTCGTCCGATGACGTTTGGACCGGCTCGTCTTTTCTCTTCTGTGTGGAGAACAGACACATTGAGGTCGTGCAGGAGGAGTGTGTTTCCCGGTCAGCGCTGGGACCGTACTGATGCAAACTGGTCGTTCAGCCACGCTGGTTAATGATGTCACCGGTGTTGGAGTGATCACTACTGTTAATGAATCTGTATGAGATCGAGTTAACGCCAGATGTTTTACTACACTGCAAAAATGCTTTTCTTACTTAGTATTTTTGTCTGGTTTCCAGTCCAAAAATCTAAAAATTCTTAAATCAAAATGCATTTACTAGATGAGTAAAATGCCATAAGATAATATGTCTTGGCCAATGGGGTAAGAAGTTTCTTACCCCATTGGCAGATAATTTAGCTTGTTTTAAGCAAAAACTCACTTCATTTTGATTTATTTCCCCAGAAAACAACATTTTACGTTCATTGGAACGATGGTTTCGGGAAACACCGACTCGTTGAACCGCGGATAACGACAGAACCTGCGACTATAGTTGCTAACGATGCTTCGGGAAACACAGGCCTGAGTGTTTGTGTGGCAGTGAATGTGTCCGCCAGCGTCTCACCCTGAAACTGATCTTCACCCCGCTGGTGTCTTTGGTCTGCTCTGGCTCTGGCTCTGGTTCTGGTTCTGGCTCTGGTTCTGGCGTGTCTTTGGCAGGGTCAGACGAGTCTTCTTCTGCAGACGGAGGCTCGGGATAAACGGGAGAATAGTTTTCAGGCGTTATCATCACGTCACGAGGAGACTCAACGCCAGGAGGAGAAATGTCTTCCGAACTAAAGCCATCCGGTTTTTCCCAGCTGGATTCTGTCAGGATGAGAAATCAAACAGGTTTTTAACAGGTTTTTCTGTACAGCCTGACATATGATATAACAGTCTGATGCTATAAATGTATAATATTTTTTTTTTTAAGTATATATTTTTTATGTTTGTACAATTATACTAAAAGTGTGGCTTTACAGCAGCTCTAGAATAAAGTTATTGTCCAGATAAAGTTAGTTTTGATTGATTAACTTCCGTTGTAAAGATCATTAGTGATTAACTTAGCGGCCGCTAACACGACACCGCTCTACAGAACACAGAACTTTAATGTGTTCTGGCCGTTCATTCACACACAGCAGTGTTTCAGCTCGAGAACACACACTCTGAGCTCGAGAACACACACTCTGAAACGGGTTCCAAGGTTGCAAGTGTTGACAAATTTTGAAAACGTGATCATCTCCGTGTAAACTTCAAAAACTTGAATCTGTGAGAACGCTGACGGCGCACATGCGTATCACGTGTTTAGTCTATAGATATGTGCGTTTGAATATATATATATACACTCACCTAAAGGATTATTAGGAACACCTGTTCAATTTCTCATTAATGCAATTATCTAATCAACCAATCACATGGCAGTTGCTTCAATGCATTTAGGGGTGTGGTCCTGGTCAAGACAATCTCCTGAACTCCAAACTGAATGTCAGAATGGGAAAGAAAGGCGATTTAAGCAGTTTTGAGCGTGGCATGGTTGTTGGTGCCAGACGGGCCGGTCTGAGTATTTCACAATCTGCTCAGTTACTGGGATTTTCACGCACAACCATTTCTAGGGTTTACAAAGAATGGTGTGAAAAGGGAAAAACATCCAGTGAGCGGCAGTCCTGTGGGCGAAAATGCCTTGTTGATGCTAGAGGTCAGAGGAGAATGGGCCGACTGATTCAAGCTGATAGAAGAGCAACTTTGACTGAAATAACCACTCGTTACAACCGAGGTATGCAGCAAAGCATTTGTGAAGCCACAACACGCACAACCTTGAGGCGGATGGGCTACAACAGCAGAAGACTCCACCGGGTACCACTCATCTCCACTACAAATAGGAAAAAGAGGCTACAATTTGCAAGAGCTCACCAAAATTGGACAGTTGAAGACTGGAAAAATGTTGCCTGGTCTGATGAGTCTCGATTTCTGTTGAGACATTCAGATGGTAGAGTCAGAATTTGGCGTAAACAGAATGAGAACATGGATCCATCATGCCTTGTTACCACTGTGCAGGCTGGTGGTGGTGGTGTAATGGTGTGGGGGATGTTTTCTTGGCACACTTTAGGCCCCTTAGTGCCAATTGGGCATCGTTTAAATGCCACGGCCTACCTGAGCATTGTTTCTGACCATGTCCATCCCTTTATGGCCACCATGTACCCATCCTCTGATGGCTACTTCCAGCAGGATAATGCACCATGTCACAAAGCTCGAATCATTTCAAATTGGTTTCTTGAACATGACAATGAGTTCACTGTACTAAAATGGCCCCCACAGTCACCAGATCTCAACCCAATAGAGCATCTTTGGGATGTGGTGGAACGGGAGCTTCGTGCCCTGGATGTGTATCCCACAAATCTCCATCAACTGCAAGATGCTATCCTATCAATATGGGCCAACATTTCTAAAGAATGCTTTCAGCACCTTGTTGAATCAATGCAGTTCTGAAGGCGAAAGGGGGTCAAACACAGTATTAGTATGGTGTTCCTAATAATCCTTTAGGTGAGTGTATATATATATGTGCGCAGGCCTGTAGTCCTTCTCTACAAAGTGTCCGGCTGCATAATACAGAATTTTTAGTTGTTTCCGTGTATCCATGCGAACTGGAATCATTTTGATGGTTTCATCTGTACAGAGGTGAAGGGAAAGAGGCCTTGTGTTTAGATATGTTTGTGAAGAGGTTTCTTACTGCCGGTCTCAGTGTTGTAGTAGTACATATACCCATCAGGACTCACGGCCTCTATCCACGCAGCGGCTGACGGATCCTGCGACATGTAAATGTGACGTTAGATCTGTAATACACAACCTCAGACTCACACACACTCAGACGGATGAGTTTAGTTCACCGGCATGTGTCCCACGACTGATGATGACGAGCTCTCGTCCAGGAACCCGTCCGGTCTCTCCCACTGCGACTCTGAGAACACGGACACACAGTGACTCTGAGAACACGGACACACAGTGACTCTGAGAACACGGACACACTGCGACTCTGAGAACACGGACACACAGTGACTGAGAACACGGACACACAGTGACTCTGAGAACACGGACACACAGTGACTCTGAGAACACGGACACACAGTGACTCTGAGAACACGGACACACAGTGACTCTGAGAACACGGACACACAGTGACTCTGAGAACACGGACACACAGTGACTCTGAGAACACGGACACACAGTGACTGAGAACACGGACACACAGTGACTGAGAACACGGACACACAGTGACTCTGAGAACACGGACACACAGTGACTGAGAACACGGACACACAGTGACTGAGAACACGGACACACAGTGACTGAGAACACGGACACACAGTGACTGAGAACACGGACACACAGTGACTCTGAGAACACGGACACACAGTGACTCTGAGAACACGGACACACAGTGACTGAGAACACGGACACACAGTGACTCTGAGAACACGGACACACAGTGACTGAGAACACGGACACACAGTGACTGAGAACACGGACACACAGTGACTGAGAACACGGACACACAGTGACTCTGAGAACACGGACACACAGTGACTCTGAGAACACGGACACACAGTGACTGAGAACACGGACACACAGTGACTCTGAGAACACGGACACACAGTGACTCTGAGAACACGGACACACAGTGACTCTGAGAACACGGACACACAGTGACTGAGAACACGGACACACAGTGACTGAGAACACGGACACACAGTGACTGAGAACACGGACACACAGTGACTGAGAACACGGACACACAGTGACTGAGAACACGGACACACAGTGACTGAGAACACGGACACACAGTGACTGAGAACACGGACACACAGTGACTGAGAACACGGACACACAGTGACTGAGAACACGGACACACAGTGACTGAGAACACGGACACACAGTGACTGAGAACACGGACACACAGTGACTCTGAGAACACGGACACACAGTGACTCTGAGAACACGGACACACAGTGACTCTGAGAACACGGACACACAGTGACTGAGAACACGGACACACAGTGACTGAGAACACGGACACACAGTGACTGAGAACACGGACACACAGTGACTGAGAACACGGACACACAGTGACTCTGAGAACACGGACACACAGTGACTGAGAACACGGACACACAGTGACTGAGAACACGGACACACAGTGACTGAGAACACGGACACACAGTGACTCTGAGAACACGGACACACAGTGACTGAGAACACGGACACACAGTGACTGAGAACACGGACACACAGTGACTGAGAACACGGACACACAGTGACTGAGAACACGGACACACAGTGACTGAGAACACGGACACACAGTGACTGAGAACACGGACACACAGTGACTGAGAACACGGACACACAGTGACTCTGAGAACACGGACACACAGTGACTAAGAACACGGACACACAGTGACTGAGAACACGGACACACAGTGACTGAGAACACGGACACACAGTGACTGAGAACACGGACACACAGTGACTGAGAACACGGACACACAGTGACTGAGAACACGGACACACAGTGACTGAGAACACGGACACACAGTGACTGAGAACACGGACACACAGTGACTCTGAGAACACGGACACACAGTGACTCTGAGAACACGGACACACAGTGACTCTGAGAACACGGACACACAGTGACTCTGAGAACACGGACACACAGTGACTCTGAGAACACGGACACACAGTGACTCTGAGAACACGGACACACAGTGACTGAGAACACAGACACACAGTGACTGAGAACACGGACACACAGTGACTCTGAGAACACGGACACACAGTGACTGAGAACACGGACACACAGTGACTGAGAACACGGACACACAGTGACTGAGAACACGGACACACAGTGACTGAGAACACGGACACACAGTGACTGAGAACACGGACACACAGTGACTGAGAACACGGACACGCGTGTGCATGTGGAGCTCGTGTGAGGCGTCTCACCTCCTGTGGTGGTGTTGTAATAATACACCTGGCCGTCGCCTGTGGTTCCTCCCACCCACACATCGGGCCGGCTGCGGCTGCTGGTTCCTGATGGCACGTTTGCGGCACGTTTTTTTGTTTTTTTCTGTGTTTTAGCAGGAGGTTCTGGTGGAGGCAAACTCACGCCTGCACAGAGACACGAGAACATCAGCTGAGTACATACGTGACTGTAAACATGTTGAAAATCAGTGTTGGGGGCAGTAACACATTACAAGTGACACGCATTATGTAATCAGATTGCTTTTTTATGTAACTAGTAAAGAAAAATTACAAGTAACGTGCATTACGTAATCAGATTACCTTTTGATGTAACGAGTAAAGCATTACAAGTAGGGTTGGGTACCGAAACTCGGTACCAATAGGGAACCGGTTCCGACGTAAACGGTAGTAACCAGACCGAATAAGAACGACAATTTCGGTGCCTGATTTCGGTGCCTGACTTAATTAGGCACACAAGCGCGCACACACACACGCACAGTCTCTTCTGTCTCGCATGCGCGCTCTTGCTCGCAAGGTTTGGCTGCATTTCACGTGTAAAATTACGCGTCAGAACGCCCTCTGAGTGTGCCGATAGTCTGAATCCATATAGAATCAAGCCAATGCATTGGCTGATGGCGCGGACGCCGCCTCGACGCACTTACGTCGTCATATTATGTTGGCGCGCGCGTGTCATCTGCTCCTCAGATTTCTCTGCCGAAAAAGGAAGCTGGTCGGCAGCGCAAGGAGCTTGGCAGCGTCTCGTTCCCTATTGAGAGATATGTTACACCAGTAACCAGAGATGTTCTCTTTCATAGGTTCACTCAACAACGCTGCGTAGCTAAGAAGCAGTGGATTTGTATTTGTAGGCTGCTGTATCACGTGCCGTTTGAACTGACGCGCTACAGCGATCTGTCACATTTCAAAGAGCCAAAACGTTATTTATTATGTGAATCTCGTAAAAATATTGACAGGATCTGACAGCTGTAGATTTGTTCCATATCAAAAGTAACCTGTCTGTCGGTGTCAGTGTCCTCTTTGTCCGCGATTTTTTTCTGCGTGAGAAAATGGATGTGTGGCGTGGGTGAGAGCGTGTGAAAAGGGTCAATTGCGTGAGTCTCACGGTCAATGCGTGAGAGTTGGCAGCTCTGTCTGCTAGTAATCTATATTAATCTCCAGTATTATTACATTGTTTGATACAATATTGTTTTATTTGATATTATGTAAATGTGAATTTTTATTTTATATTGGTTTTATTATTATTTGTATTTATATTGTTTAAAGATTTAAGTTAATATTGTGTCCAGTTTGGCCCTGTAAATTAAAGGGTATTATTTTTTGATAAAGTGTGTGCGGTTTCGTTTTCTTAAGTACCGTTTCAAGAACCGTTTAGGCACCGGAACCGTTTGAAAAATACCGAGTAGGTACTGGTATCGGATAAAACCCAACCGATACCCAACCCTAATTACAAGTAACATGCATTACGTAATCAGATTACTTTGATGTAACGAGTAAAGCATTACAAGTAACATGCATTACATAATCAGATTACTTTGATGTAACGAGTAAAGCATTACAAGTAACATGCATTACGTAATCAGATTACTTTGATGTAACGAGTAAAACATTACAAGTAACATGCATTACGTAATCAGATTACTTTGATGTAACGAGTAAAACATTACAAGTAACATGCATTACGTAATCAGATTACTTTGATGTAACAAGTAAAACATTACAAGTAACATGCATTACGTAATCAGATTACTTTGATGTAACGAGTAAAACATTACAAGTAACATGCATTACGTAATCAGATTACTTTGATGTAACGAGTAAAACATTACAAGTAACATGCATTACGTAATCAGATTACTTTGATGTAACGAGTAAAACATTACAAGTAACATGCATTACGTAATCAGATTACTTTGATGTAACAAGTAAAACATTACAAGTAACATGCATTACGTAATCAGATTACCTTGATGTAACGAGTAAAACATTACAAGTAACATGCATTACGTAATCAGATTACCTTGATGTAACGAGTAAAACATTACAAGTAACATGCATTACGTAATCAGATTACTTTGATGTAACGAGTAAAACATTACAAGTAACATGCATTACGTAATCAGATTACTTTGATGTAACGAGTAAAGCATTACAAGTAACATGCATTACGTAATCAGATTACCTTGATGTAACGAGTAAAACATTACAAGTAACATGCATTACGTAATCAGATTACTTTGATGTAACGAGTAAAACATTACAAGTAACATGCATTACGTAATCAGATCACTTTGATGTAACGAGTAAAACATTACAAGTAACATGCATTACGTAATCAGATTACCTTGATGTAACGAGTAAAACATTACAAGTAACATGCATTACGTAATCAGATCACTTTGATGTAACGAGTAAAACATTACAAGTAACATGCATTACGTAATCAGATCACTTTGATGTAACGAGTAAAGCATTACAAGTAACATGCATTACGTAATCAGATTACCTTGATGTAACGAGTAAAACATTACAAGTAACATGCATTACGTAATCAGATTACTTTGATGTAACGAGTAAAGCATTAGAAGTAACATGCATTACGTAATCAGATTACCTTTTGATGTAACGAGTAAAGCATTACAAGTAACATGCATTACGTAATCAGATCACTTTGATGTAACAAGTAAAGCATTACAAGTAACATGCATTACGTAATCAGATTACCTTGATGTAACGAGTAAAACATTACAAGTAACATGCATTACGTAATCAGATCACTTTGATGTAACGAGTAAAGCATTACAAGTAACATGCATTACGTAATCAGATTACCTTGATGTAACGAGTAAAACATTACAAGTAACATGCATTACGTAATCAGATTACTTTGATGTAACGAGTAAAGCATTAGAAGTAACATGCATTACGTAATCAGATTACCTTTTGATGTAACGAGTAAAGCATTACAAGTAACATGCATTACGTAATCAGATCACTTTGATGTAACGAGTAAAACATTACAAGTAACGTGCATTACGTAATCAGATTACTTTGATGTAACAAGTAAAGCATTACAAATAACGTGCATTACGTAATCAGATCACTTTGATGTAACGAGTAAAACATTACAAGTAACATGCATTACGTAATCAGATTACTTTGATGTAACGAGTAAAGCATTACAAGTAACATGCATTACGTAATCAGATCACTTTGATGTAACGAGTAAAGCATTACAAGTAACATGCATTACGTAATCAGATTACCTTTTGATGTAACGAGTAAAGCATTACAAGTAACATGCATTACGTAATCAGATTACCTTGATGTAACGAGTAAAACATTACAAGTAACATGCATTACGTAATCAGATTACTTTGATGTAACGAGTAAAACATTACAAGTAACATGCATTACGTAATCAGATTACTTTGATGTAACGAGTAAAACATTACAAGTAACGTGCATTACGTAATCAGATTACTTTGATGTAACAAGTAAAGCATTACAAATAACGTGCATTACGTAATCAGATCACTTTGATGTAACGAGTAAAACATTACAAGTAACATGCATTACGTAATCAGATTACTTTGATGTAACGAGTAAAGCATTACAAGTAACATGCATTACGTAATCAGATCACTTTGATGTAACGAGTAAAACATTACAAGTAACGTGCATTACGTAATCAGATTACTTTGATGTAACAAGTAAAGCATTACAAATAACGTGCATTACGTAATCAGATCACTTTGATGTAACGAGTAAAACATTACAAGTAACATGCATTACGTAATCAGATTACTTTGATGTAACGAGTAAAGCATTACAAGTAACATGCATTACGTAATCAGATCACTTTGATGTAACGAGTAAAGCATTACAAGTAACATGCATTACGTAATCAGATTACCTTTTGATGTAACGAGTAAAGCATTACAAGTAACATGCATTACGTAATCAGATTACCTTGATGTAACGAGTAAAACATTACAAGTAACATGCATTACGTAATCAGATTACTTTGATGTAACGAGTAAAACATTACAAGTAACATGCATTACGTAATCAGATCACTTTGATGTAACGAGTAAAACATTACAAGTAACATGCATTACGTAATCAGATTACTTTGATGTAACGAGTAAAGCATTAGAAGTAACATGCATTACGTAATCAGATTACCTTTTGATGTAACGAGTAAAGCATTACAAGTAACATGCATTACGTAATCAGATCACTTTGATGTAACGAGTAAAACATTACAAGTAACGTGCATTACGTAATCAGATCACTTTGATGTAACGAGTAAAGCATTACAAGTAACATGCATTACGTAATCAGATTACCTTTTGATGTAACGAGTAAAGCATTACAAGTAACATGCATTACGTAATCAGATCACTTTGATGTAACAAGTAAAGCATTACAAGTAACATGCATTACGTAATCAGATCACTTTGATGTAATGCTTTACTTGTTACATCAAAGTGATCTGATTACGTAATGCATGTTACTTGTAATGCTTTACTCGTTATATCAAAAGGTAATCTGATTACGTAATGCACGTTACTTCTAATGCTTTACTCGTTACAAGTAACATGCATTACGTAATCAGATTACCTTTTGATGTAACGAGTAAAGCATTACAAGTAACATGCATTACGTAATCAGATTACTTTGATGTAACGAGTAAAGCATTACAAGTAACATGCATTACGTAATCAGATTACTTTGATGTAACGAGTAAAACATTACAAGTAACGTGCATTACGTAATCAGATCACTTTGATGTAACAAGTAAAGCATTACAAGTAACATGCATTACGTAATCAGATTACTTTGATGTAACGAGTAAAGCATTACAAGTAACGTGCATTACGTAATCAGATCACTTTGATGTAACAAGTAAAGCATTACAAGTAACATGCATTACGTAATCAGATTACTTTGATGTAACGAGTAAAGCATTACAAGTAACATGCATTACATAATCAGATTACTTTGATGTAACAAGTAAAGCATTACAAGTAACATGCATTACATAATCAGATTACTTTGATGTAACAAGTAAAGCATTACAAGTAACATGCATTACGTAATCAGATTACTTTGATGTAACGAGTAAAGCATTACAAGTAACATGCATTACGTAATCAGATTATTTTGATGTAACGAGTAAAGCATTACAAGTAACATGCATTACGTAATCAGATCACTTTTTGGATGTTACGAATAAAGTAATGCAAGCAACGCATTACATTTTATGTAATTTTAGTAATGCACAATACTTTTTAGTTTAATCAATTTGCTTAAACGTTTTTAAAACACTGAATTAAAATTCTCTCTCTTCTTCATAACAGTCACTCATGCATGTGCAGGAACAGACAAAAAGTACATAAGTAACAAAACATATTACTTTTAATAAAAAGAGTTGTATAATAGGTAATGTTAGGAGATCTTTTATATGGCATACCGCTCTAGGGCTCATATATGGCATATCGCTCTAGGGCTCAGGAAATATTCTATGTGCTCAGAATATAACAATATTTTAAATGTGTTTTTAAAAGAAAACAATATAAGCTATGTTGTCGAATGCATTACTGCGTTAAACACTGTAAAAGAACACCTGCAAGGACTAAAAGAGAGCGAGTCTCTGCCAGGTGAGAAAAAGTAACGCAAAAGTAACGTATTACTTTACATGAAAAGTCAACGCAAATAGTTACTTTTTTAGAGAGTAACACAATATTGTAACACATGACTTATAAAAGTGACCGTAAAGGAGACCTGATGACTGAGCCGTGAGTCTCTTCAGATCCTCCTCATACGCCTTCAGAGCCGCTTCTTCCATCGCTGCGAACTCCTTCGACATCTTCTGCTCCTGCTTGGCCTTCGCAACGCTTTTCTTCTTAATCTGTCAGGAACATTGACGGGGTCACATGAGCGCTGCGGGCCAATCAGAGCGCGTCTCACACACTCTTATCATCACACACATGCAGCTCTGACAGCAGCAGCCAACTTTCTGTTTACCAGCTCATTTCTACAGCGCTTTTTACAGGATAGATGATCTCACAGTAATAAACAGAAGCCATGATGCAAACTTCATCAGATACGAGACAACTTCGGGTTCAGCTGTAAAGATGACATTAGTGTCATTATTCAGATCAGTGTTTTGTTCTCATCCAATAAAGTGTGAATCCTCATCGTTTCACTCGGATATACGGTACTGTAAGGAAGAAAAGACCAGCGCAACTTCCCTTTCATGACATCTTTAAACATAATGTATAACATAAAAAGTAATGTGACAGTGTGTTCAGGATCCTTTACCCAGAATACCGTGCAATATTCACCATACAATGTGAAATGCATTGTGTCACATGATCTCATCATATTCCGTGTGAGTGGAATCGAATTTTTATCACAGAAATAAAGTTATTCTGCCTATTAAATCAAATTTTGTGTTAAAACATCTCAACTTTGATCAGGCTGTTTAAAGTCGGCAATGAGATCTTTTTTTTCCCCATATTGTGACGTGTATCCGAGTGAAGCGCTTATTGACGAGGCACATGACCTATAAACGAATAATGATGTGCATGGATAAATCGTTTAGAATAAATATTGCAATATCCCATAAATAAGAATTGTACATTTTGATTTCATGGTGACTTTAAATATAGTCAAGAAAAATATGTATTATTTAAGTATAATTTCAACTTTCTATATCATAAATATATAATTCTATATCATAATTATGCATGATTCTTATCACCTTTTGCCAAAAACAGGTCACACAGGAAATGTGCATAATGAGTACACACTGAGTGCACACTGAGTACACACTGAGTACACACTGAGTGCACACTGAGTGCACACTGAGTGCACACTGAGTACACACTGAGTACACACTGAGTGCACACTGAGTGCACACTGAGTGCACACTGAGTGCACACTGAGTGCACACTGAGTACACACTGAGTGCACACTGAGTGCACACTGAGTGCACACTGAGTACACACTGAGTACACACTGAGTGCACACTGAGTGCACACTGAGTGCACACTGAGTACACACTGAGTGCACATTGAGTGCACACTGAGTGCACACTGAGTACACACTGAGTGCACACTGAGTACACACTGAGTGCACACTGAGTGCACACTGAGTGCACACTGAGTGCACACTGAGTGCACACTGAGTGCACACTGAGTGCACACTGAGTACACACTGAGTACACACTGAAAACACACTGAAAACACACTGAGTACACACTGAAAACACACTGAGTACACACTGAGTACACACTGAAAACACACTGAGTACACACTGAGTGCACACTGAGTACACACTGAGTACACACTGAGTGCACACTGAAAACACACTGAGTGCACACTGAGTACACACTGAGTACACACTGAGTACACACTGAGTACACACTGAGTACACACTGAGTGCACACTGAGTACACACTGAGTACACACTGAGTACACACTGAGTGCACACTGAAAACACACTGAGTGCACACTGAGTGCACACTGAGTACACACTGAGTACACACTGAGTGCACACTGAGTGCACACTGAGTACACACGGAGTACACACTGAGTACACACTGAGTACACACTGAGTACACACTGAAAACACACTGAAAACACACTGAGTACACACTGAGTACACACTGAAAACACACTGAGTACACACTGAGTACACACTGAAAACACACTGAGTACACACTGAGTGCACACTGAGTGCTGAGTACAGAGTACATACTGAGTACACACTGAGTGCACACTGAGACTGAGTACAGAGTACATACTGAGTACACACTGAGTGCACACTGAGACTGAGTACATAACAAGTACATAACGAGTACATACTGAGCCTGTCAAAATACATACAGTCTTGGCCACTTGAGAGAGCGCGTACACGAGACAGAAAGAAAGTGTGCAAGACTGTCCCATGTCTTAAAGATGCCAAAGTGCAGTGCCCTCAACGCACACTAAACCCACAGGTTTGCAAATACCGCTTCAGAGCAGTATTCGAGGCTAAGCCTATCCCATCATGCATTAGGATCAGGAAATCACAAGCCCTGAAATCACTAGATGTTGACGACACATTCCACTGTAAGTTAAATTAATTAGATATTTCATATAATTTGGTAGTAAAATGTAGTGTTGCACATTTTACTGGTGCACGGATGAGTAGGCTATGTGTATTTGCAACTGCTTTTTAATCACAAAATTAGAAGCACCACAATTTTAAATTGTGTCTTTGGTTACATAGGGACTAATGAAGAGACATTTAGAAGTTTATTTTGAAATGGAAAGTATTGAAAATCAAAATAAAGCTCTGTAAACACTTGCATTTTTTGCAACACTATTAGTGTGTCCCATCGGGTATTACACACTTGCAGTCTTCATGCCTACTTGAACACTTGTGCCTAATACAGGAAATACATCATGCAAGTAGACAAGTGCTCAAGTGCAAAGAGGACAAGTGTGGGTATTTGGACAGGCCCAATGATCACATACTGAGTTCAGTACGTATATGACGTACAGCATAATCACAAAGGAGAGCCAGTGCACATAATCTCAGGTAGTATGCAGTACTCTAGTGTTGCTATTGTTTCTTACCTCTGCGATTTTGGCCGCGACATTCTCTTTGTGATTCTTTCCTCTCTCGTGAAACTCGACGCTCTGCGTGGAAAACACACAGAAACACGTTCAGATCGAGTGTGGAAGAGAGGGGTTAGGGTTATGATGACTGATTCACTCACGGGCTTGTTATCCGCGATCCAGCACTTGCAGTACTGACAGAACTTCTTCGGCTGGGATTTCCAGTAATCAGCCCTGCATTACAAACACAAACACACACACACACACAGATAGTTCACTGCATTAGCGCATCGTTTACACCTCGAGCTCAAGAGGCGCGAGCTCGTGGAATGTCTGATCAAAATCCACGTGATTACTTACATTATGAAGGATGGAAATCTCAAATTTCTTCCCTTAAATGTACATAAATGTTGTACTCATTCTACATGCTCACTGGTTAGTGCCCATTGCTGTCACTTAAAAATGACGTCACTGATCGCGCGACAAACCGTGATTAAGGATTGGAAATGTACAATTAAAACAAGACTGATAAATATGATGCTGAATGATTACTTCATAATCAGAAACAACATTAAAACCATAAATAGATGTCTCACCGTACACACACACGCTTGTGAGTGGCTGTGTGAGTATAACATAGCATCAGGCGCTCTCAGTGTCAGCGCCTCCCATATGGTCTAGCGGTTAGGATTCCTGGTTTTCACCCAGGCGGCCCGGGTTCGACTCCCGGTATGGGAAGACAACTTTTTTTTTTTTTGATTTGCCAACATAATTCAAGTTATTCAAGTTCATCACTAATCATTTTAGTTACTCATAGTATTAGAGGCCTAGACGAACTACAAAGACAAGCAGAAGATATGTAAAAACTCATAAATGCTGTTGAATTCAGAAAATTTCACTATGGAATGTTTACTTTATACATCATCATTTAAATTTTTCATCTCATAATTATGAGTCATAATTTTAATTTCAACTTTTTAAGTCATAATTTCGACAGAATTAAATTTAGAATTAAGTTTTGTGTCAATTACGACTTTTTAATGTCATCTTAAAACGTTTTTAAGTCATAATTTGGTTTCACTTTACTCTGATGGTCCCTTTAACAAATTCTGTTGACTATAAGTAACGTTGCACCTTCATGTCTACTAACTCGCATGTGAGAGAGTATATAAAGTAAACTCTCATCAGAGTTAGTAGAGTATTAGTGGACTGCAGGGTTAGGACAAGTTGAGATATAGTTGCAGAGTTACTTATAGTCAACAGCACATTCAAAAGGACCATCAAAATAAAGTGTTACCAACTTATACTTTTTTTTGTGTCAATTTATTAATTTTTTATGTCATAATTTTTTCAACTTTTCATCTCGTAATTATGACGTACCTTCATAATTTTAATTTAGACTTTTTAAGTCATAATTTTGACTTTTTGTCATAATTATTACTTAATTCCGACTTTTTAATGTCATAATAAAAAAGTTTTTAAGCAATAAATTTGACAAAAAGTATTTTCTTCTCAGTCTTTTGATGACTTAATTTATACTTTTTTGTCAATTTTGACTTTTTAATGTAATAACTTATACAACTCTTCATCTCATCACTGATTTACAAAAATGTTTTTTTTTCTTACGTGGTATTAATGGACATATTTCACTCAGATATGGAGAAAAAGAGTAAATCTTCTGAAAGCATGAGGTGATCTTCAATAATAGATTGTAAAAAGGCTCAGATCCAGAGTGAGACTCAATAAATGTTTAAATCTCTGAGAGCATCAGCATAAGAGACCCGTTCATCATCACTCGTGTAATCAGTGCTCAGAGACGACTCCCAGAACACACACACATCTCATTACAAAACAAACACAAGTTTATTTGGACTTTAAACACAGACACACCCTTTAAAATATCAGTTATAAAGGATTATTGAAGAAAACGCTGCCGCATATACAGAAACAATGTGCAAACATGGAGAACACGCTTTTAAATATATTTTACACAATAAAATCAGAAAACAAGAGAAGAAAATAAATACAGTGCATAGAAATTCATCCTGAAATAATCAATGACAAAATAAACACTAACAGTGAAAGTGCAACATCAAATGAACAATTATAACCAAAACAATAATTTAAGTCAAATATGCTTTTAAAAGGTGCAATAACTGGATCATTGATCAGAGTGCATGTCGTCTGTTATCAAGTTAAAAAAGAATATTAATTATATAAACATAGTGATAATAAAGTGTTCGACCTGTAAAGAGTTAAAAAGTGTGGTAATTTGGTTAAAACCATTTGAAAATCACAAAAATATTCCAATTTCAAACAATCGTACAAACTGGTTGTTGAGTTCCAGTGGTTGTTTGAGAAAGAAACGCAGCAGGAACAGCTTTAGCAGCAGGTGTTGATGATCAGTGCGTGTGTGTGTGTGTGTGTGTGAGGACATCCTGACCAGCAGGAAGTGACCTCATGACCTCGTGACCTCAGTAACACCCGTCCCGCCAGCTCCCGTCCCGCAGCGTCGACAGGCTCCTCGGAGGCGTCAGCAAACTGGCCGAGAACAGAGAACATCAGAAATTTTGTAATTAATTAGCATAATGCCAGCCTGTGGTGTTGATTGGCTGAGCAGCGTCTCTTAGCCCCGCCCTCTAACACTAGTGTATCTGAGACTGGGAGAGTTCGGCTCGTGTTGTTCGTGTCGAGGAGACGCTGTTTTCTGAGATTGAGACGGTGAAACCCACGCCATCGCCACTGTTCGTATCACTGTGATCAAGAGCTGAGAGTCAGATATGATAATGAGCGTTTCTGACCAATCACAGCAGAGCAGCTCTCAGAGAGGCGGGGCTTAGAGAGACTGAGTCCTTGATGGAAGCGTTTCAGACGAAATCAAATGTTGTATTAGTTAACATTAGTTAATGCACTGTGAACTAACATGAACAATCAACCAGCTTACAAACTTTACCAAAGATAAATACAGTAACAAATGTATTGCTCATTGGTAGTTCATGTTAGTTAATACATAAACTAATGTTAACAAATTAGACCATATTGTAAAGTGTTCCCATTAAAGGAAAGGACAGTACCGGTGAGTAAATGGAAACCTTTCATCACTCACTCCACCAAACGGCCGGTTTTCGCTCAGCGGATTTAAATTCTTCAGGATCTCGACCTGAATTTTTCATAACTTACTAATTTTAGGTTTTAATCTGAATCAGTTTGGAGTTTTAAGCAGCTTTGAGGATTTGAAGAAGCTGAAGATGAAGCTGGTGATGTGTGTGTTTCATCGTGTCACAATATATCGCAATACACAAATTCAACAATATGTATCGTGGATAGTTCACTCAAAATAAAAATGAGTGTGTGAGAGTTTTAGTGTCAGTACATATAAAATGTTGAATATAATGTATAATAATGCAATGGGGGAATATTTGTGTAAAAAGCGTCCTGCAATATTTTAAATATATCTAGTCAGTGTCAGAGTGCAGATTTGTCTAAAATAATTCTGTATTTCAGCTTCAGAATCATGAATATTGTTATTCTGGTGTCTCTATTGTCCTGTGCTTTGGGTTTCCAGCATCAAGTCCAAGCCTGTTCATTTACACACACACTGTAAAATCAAATTTAGCAGTTTAATCAATAGTACATTTTTTGTTAACCTTTGACATTGTGTCTTGGAGTATCGCAATATTATTGTATCGTGAGGTCAGTATCGTGTGTGTGTGTGTGTGTGTGTGTGTGTGTGTGTGTTTACCTGCGCACTGGAGCCGTGAGTTTCCCGCGCGAGCCGCTCGCTATGAAGGACGCGGGCCGCGGTAAACCACTGCGCGCCGGGATCTGGGAGACGGACACTTTCCCACCGGACACACACTGGGACACACACTGGGAACTGGCCGACGGACCCTTGATGGTGGGACTGACGTAAGCGGTGGCTTTAAGCGTCTGACAGGACGAGAAGTTCCCGACGCTCTGAACACGAGCCGGAACTGCACAAAACACACACACACACACACACACACACACACACACACACACACACACACACACACACACACACACACACACACACACACACACACACACACACACACACACACACACACACACACACACACACACACACACATCCTTACGAAAAGAAAATATCTTTCCCAATAGCCGTCATTTCACCGTCTTGGTTAACTACAGTACAGACCCGATATAGTCCGGCTATGAGTAACACACTTCTAGCCAAAAGAACTTGCGAGATGTGTGATATTCCATCATGTAAGCAAAGTCATCAGCGATTACAAGGTGTTTCGTTTCATTTCATTTAATCTAACTGATGATGACTAGTCTAATATTGGGCGATGGTTTAGACATCAATACAGTTCTCACTGACAGCCCAAATGTTGCCTTGTGTTAGCCTAGACGTCAGGCTGTGTTTGGACGGCTATTAGACGTCTTTTAAATGCAAAATTGCTTGCTGGGTATATTAAATGATTTACCAGTATATTTGAAAATATACAGAATAATATATTATGTGTTAATATATTACAATACATTGAGTAATACATAAGGAATTGTTGCTTTTCATATATTGACAAATATGTGACAATATATTTACTAATATAATGTATGTAATTTAATATTCAGTAATAATACACTTCCTAATATATAGATGTATATGTGATCAGATATGGTACTGCATGTGTAATATATTGCAGATATACTAACTCATGCAGCATAAACCCACATATATAGAGAAAAATATAATGTAATATATTTCTTATATTTTTTATTATTATATACATTAGCAAAGAGACTATCACTGTGCTGAGGAGAGCACAGCCATTATTTTTAAAATATAGTAATTATAGTCTTAATGGTTTCGACCACAGAAACTCACATACCAGAAAACCTTTTAAATTCCAAAATAATAGTACATTAAACACTAACAATGGTGTCAATGGAGTGTTGTCGAATGTTGTTGTCTTCCACTGGTACTCCACAGGGTTGCGTTCTGTCCCCTCTTCTGTTTTCTTTATATACTGACGACTGTCGTAGTACTTTTAATGGGAGACACATTGTTAAATTTGCGGACGATTCTGTGATTGTTTCGCTTCTTAATGAGTTTGAATCAGACTTTGGTCCAGTGACAGATCATTTTATCCAATGGTGTGATGCTTCATTTCTAAATATTAATGCTTCAAAAACAAAAGAGATGTTTATTGATTTCCGTTCCGTAAGAAGAACTCTGTACCTGTGTTGCCTCCTGTCATAAAGGGACATCAGGTAGAAGTGGTTACACAGTATAAATATTTAGGGACTGTAATTGATGACAAACTACAATTTGAGGCAACCACTGATATCATTAGAGGAAAGGCTCTTCAGCGTATGTATTTTCTAAGGAAACTTCGAACCTTTAACATGGATGTGTCTTTTATGAAAATGTTTTATACCTGTTTTATCGAGGCTGTTTTAAGTTTTTCTATTATTTGTTGGTATGG